AGATATGGGGTTTTACTTTAGAACTCCTTCATTTAGACAACAAAAACCGAGCAATTTTGTGACCTATTTTCTAATGAATCATACAAGGTCTTCTAAGAACTTCATCAAGATCGGTGTTGAATTAGCTATAACTTATACATATATGTCAACTCAATTAATTTTATTTTTATTTAAGCAAAACTAACTGATGGCATACGTCGTGTGGGCAACTTTCAAACTTTGGCTATTCCATAGTAATTAACAATATTTTGCTAGCAAGTATTTTCCATTACTATTACTACGTTAAGCTCATTAGAAATATAGGCTAAAAATTTTTGAAGAAGCACCTTTCCCCCCCTGCTAATTCTTCGAACAGCATGGCGAGACAATTGATAAACTCGCCCACTTCCATTTAATTGCCACTTATTCAAGGTCGCAGTGTAAACTAAGCAAGCCAATTATTAATAAAATAGCAGCAGATTATTGACAATAAAATAGTATGTATTAAGGTATTATATATACTCACGAAAGTATACATAAAGTGCTGTGGTTGTAAGAAAAAAATTACATACATAAATTTATTTTGATACACTTAATAGCAGCGTTTACAAAGGCAATGAGTGCTCTCAACTTCAACGACCACGCAGAGACCAACCACAACATTTATTTAAGTTAGCTGCACTAATACTCATAATCTGCAATTTCTTCAAACAATAAACTACTCTACAACAAAAGCAAAGAAACTTAAAAGAAATATTTCTTTTTTTGCTTAACTCTTTTTCACTTTATCCTGGTGGTGAATAGAAATTGTTAGATATGTACACGGAAAAAGCTAGAAAAAGTGTAGCAGCTGCAGGCACCGGAAGAGAGAGAGAATAGATATACCAAAGCGTAAAGACTAAAACGTTGATGGGGATTTTTGCCTTTAAGGCAAGTTTCGTGGTGATGATGTCGGTAATGGTGATGATGATGCGAACGATAATTTTCTTGATAATACCTTCATGCATAAATAATGTGGCCGGACGCTGACGCTGATCATTTTGCTGTGTAAAAATGCAAATTGCATTCTTACTTGCTGAATAATATAGGTCGTTCAGTTCACCTGCTTATGAGTTTGTTTGCGCACCACACAACGGTCAACACTAAAGAAATTGCATTCAAAATATTTGCATTTCGCAAACGCTCCTCAGAGAACGCTTCGTTTGTTTGCTTTAAGTGCGTCGACAGCCTACCGCCCTACTAAGGAAGCAGATGCGAGGGGCGACGACCGACGAAAAGATTATGGCGCCAAGTGTCCACTTTCTGGTTGGCATGACTGAACTTTTCATTGAGGTTTCGTCTATATTTACATACATACTCTTATATAGTTAACACGCAAGAAAAGGCTCAAATTGGCCATAGTTTCGCTTTTGTTTTTAGTTTTATTGTGGCTCCTCATATTGTAATGGCAAGTATTGTGTTGCAATTGCATGTAACTATCACGAAGCTTTAATGACACTCTTGTCTTGCTGTTCGTTTTTTTTTGTTTTTTTTTTTAACTAAGTACTTTCTCCTTTTATTTCTATCTCCACTAGCACACAGCCAGCCAGCCAGTCAGCCAGCCACCTGTCCCTTGTTGGTAGTTAACATAAAACTTTTATACTCCCCATTGTCTGCCTCGCATATATTTTCTCTTGTTTTCGTCTGCGTCTTTGTTGTGGCATTCCAGTTCAGGGTCTGAAATTTAACTAACTACATGGAGGATCCTTTTATATGTAGTGGGTCAGTTTGTCAGTAAATAAGAAAATAAAGTTGGGTAGGTACAAGTGCTCCGAAAATAAAGTAAATAATCGGTCACCAACTACCCAAACGACAAACCGGCAGCCCAACAGACCGAACGGTGTTCACTCAAGCAGGCGACTGACTAGGTTTACGAATAAGTGAAACGGTTACCAACTGGCCTTCATGTTCATTCACCACTTTTACTTTGTGTTATCCTTGTTGTAATTTTATACTTTTGTTATGTAAGTTTCCTGGTAATCCATTCTATGCTATTCCATGCACAAACGCGCGCATTTTCAGTTAATTTTTTTTTTGTTTGCTTCTTGTCGACTTTGCGCCAGCAACTTGATAAAAGCGCACAAAGTCAAATAGGAAACTAAAATTACTGCAGATTGTGTACCGCCTTTTAGGCTCTCACTGTTTAAAGTTCTGAGATGTTTGCAGCAAAACTTTTTAGGTTTTTAATTATATTCCTTCAGGGGTTGTTACGTTGTTAAAGCGATTACGTAAAGGGGGTATTGCTATTAATTATTTGTTCGTTTGTCCTACTAATACATATTAAGAAATCCGCTACGTACTTCAATAAAATTTGGCAGGTAGATAGGCCATGACCTGGATTAACATACAGCTAGGATATTTTTTGAAGAGAGTTGCCACCTTTTTCAAAAGTTAAAATCAATTAATTAATACGTTAAATAAAATACTACAGCAGTGTGGGTGTGAAACGAAAGTAATTGTAAATCGATTTATTTGGAGGTAACTTGGAAGAGGGCTGCCACCTGTTGAAGTGTGGAATTCAATTAAATTAATTTACTATTTATACCTATGGAAGTTAAGGAAAACTTTATTTCGAAAATGATTTTTAAGTGACACTTGTTTTGGAGTTCGAAATCAATTCAATCACAAGCTAAATGAAATATTTCACCGTGCGAGAGTGAATTTTACACACACAAAATTAATATATTCGCAACAATATGGGAAAAATATAGTAAAACTGCGTTATTAATTTTTCACTCTTGTCAGGATTTTTTTTAAGAACTTTGAAATTTCAAAAAAAAAAATTATTTAAAAAATTATTAAAAAATTTCAGTGCAATGTGGAGTAACTATGTGAGTATCAAATAAAAGAGAAAATCAGAATATAAAAAACTTTTTGGTTCATAACGACGAATGGGTATGGAAAATTTCTTTTTAAAATTTTATCCTTGAATATCCTTAAAAATTTGCAAGATTTGTTTTAAAAAAAATATATATATTAAGGACTAATAAAATTAATTAAAAGCGAATTTTCAATACTTATTTGTCCTTGTGTACCAAAAAAACTTTATTTTTTTTATTCTACAGAATTTTCTCTTTTATTTGGTACCCATATTGTTATTGTGCATTTCACTGATTTTTTAAATAATTTTTTTAATTAATCATATTTTTAAAATTTCAAAGTCCTTTAGAAAAAAAATCTTGTCGTCAGAGTGAAAAACTAAAAATCCAGCTTTACTGTATTTGGCCCATTGCTTCGTGTGTTTTGAAATTTTTTTGTTTTTGTAGCATGGTAGTGAAATCAGGGAGAGGTCTACGAAATCTTCATTTCGAAAACATTTTTGGAAATTAAAGACCAAATTAGTTAACGAGTTAAATGATATATTTTAATATGAATTTTTCCATTTTTCATTACACTTCAATCTTTTTTAAGTAGAAGTTGCTAATGCAAAATCGTAATCAGCGACATCGAAAACGCTTTTTTGATATTTCGACCACTGTCCACCGTGGCGGATACGTTATATATGTATGTATGTACACCACCTTGTTACAGACGGACATGTGGTTCAATGCCAACCAAAAGTGAAATTTCGGATTGTGACCAAAATTTTCATATTTTGTTATTTTTGCTATTCAAAAATGCCTGATGACGAACACTAAAACTCTCCACATCGTTTAATTTGTTAATTTATCTGACTTCATATGCACTTATAAGTAATTTTAGCATATTAACGTCAAATTTTTAAAAAGTCAAGAAGCGAAAGCTCGTAAATTGTTCGATTTTTTCTTCGAGGGGATTGTGGAGTCCAAAATTTGAAAATCGAGAAAAAATCCTTAAAGCTTACTTTTTTTATTCAAAATTTCATAAACATCTCAAATTCTTTCGTCCTTCCCAGCAGCTAATTAAATGGTTACAGCGTCCTAAAACGCTTACACTCACACTATTGCAACACAATGCTAAATGGTTAATCAGCCTCATTACGTAAGTCGTAAATTGGGCTAAATTGTACGACTGGATAAGTAAACAATGAAAATCGTCGAAAACTATACAGTGCTGCCAAGTTTTTCCATTTGAATACAGTAGTCGAGTGGAAATTTCAGGCAATGACGTGAAATTTTCGATACGATTCGACTCTCGAAAAACGACTTGCATTCGACACGACTCTCGCAATGAGGATGAATATTTGGAACATTGTATGTAGCATGTTTTGAGTAAAAGCGCCAAATGGGCAAATGAAGTGAAATGCAATTTAAAACAAAATTCGTGCATATCTACCAGTGCGACAAAGTATTTTCGTGGCTGGCGAGCCATAAAAGTGACACTCGTGCCACAAACAGCCAGTGTCTGCTTCTGCTTCTGCGTCCACGTCATGTCAAGCCAAATAAATGCCAGCCAACAAAGGCAACACATTTTCGTTGTAGTTTTACTATAGTAGGTGTACAACAACAACAACAACATTACGTTTAATATATGTATGTGTACTCATATAAAAATATCACAATCGCGTTGCCACTTGTAAATGTCAAGTGAACAAACGAAAAGGGCAATTGCATGCAGTGACGACAAACAACAACAACAACAGCTATTACTGCAACTATAACTACAACAATAAAATATCATAAAAAGTGATAAAGCATTGAAAAATGACTACAATAATAACAAATATAGCAAATTACATGGCATACGGTGTTAAAAGCAGGTGTACAAATATTTGGCTGGTTAGTTGAGGACAAAAAGCGACGCAGTGTATGTATGTATATGAAGTTTTGTATAGGGTAAAGGTACTAAATACAAGCAGCTAGGCGTCATGGGCATTTGAGGTGATTTCTCTTCGAAAGACATTCATATTTCAATTTTGCCACTGAAATGTCGAAACTACATACAAAAATACTACTCGCATGTTTTTTTCTAAATTTAGATTATCCACAGCTGTTCGCTCAGCCGCTTTGGGGTAAATTTCTACACACATACAAATATCATTATTGTTCGCCTTATTTACATACCTGTCATCCGCTGGTTTATATGTGACAATATACTTTTCAATTGGATGCGCATTCAAATCGATCATCGTTTGCCAGGAAACGCGCACTGTTGTCGGTGTGAGAAAGGTGACGGTTATGTTCTCGGGGGTGGCTGGGATAGTGCCTGCAAAAAGAAGGGCAGTAAAAAAAAACTTCTATGAGAATAAGAAAATCAAATTAACAAAAAACTAATTTTTTTAAATCAATAATTTTACTAGAATCTTATGATCTTGTTAACTGCATACAGAAAAAAATGTCTAAAGATTCTGCTTAAAAAGTTAGAAATTTAGATAAAAATTTGTGGAATTTTTCTAAGTTCAGTATAAAGTTTGAGAGTGTGATTTACACAGTTTTGGTTATAGCATGAACCATATTTTTATAAAAAAAAATATCAAAAAAAATTTGGCTTGAAAAACTTGTAAATATTAAAAACGAAACACCATTCATCCATTTTTGACCGCCACTGTATGTACAGTGGTGGAAAAATAAATAAAAATAAAAATAAACTGTTATTTTGTTTGTTTAATATTTATTAGTTTTTTATAAAAGTATACTTCATTATCTAACAAAAGCCGTATAAATTCATATTTCAAACTTTGTACAAAAATTATAAAAATTCTGCAATATTGCATATTTTCAACTTTTTAATCAGATTTTTAGGAATATTTCTGAGTATGTAGTTTTATAGCCCCTCAATTTTAAATTTTGGTAGAATAAAGGGCAAGTTAGAAGTTCCCTAAAAATCGCGTTGATTTTTGAGAATTTTTATTCTGAATGTATTACGCACTTTTTTTCCATACAAAAAAAAATTTCGAACATACTTTGTACAGAAGAAAATGCGTTAAAAAAATGTCCAAGCTAAAAACCAACGTGATTTTTTAGCAACTTAAAACTTACACTTCAATCTACCAAAATTTAATGGGCTATAAAACTACATACTCAAAAAAGTTCTAAAAAATCAGATTAAAAAGTTGAAAATTTAGATGCAAGTTTGCAGAATTTTCATAATTTTTGCGCAAAGTTTGAAATATGAATTTATACGGTTTTTGTTGGACAATTAAGTATACCTTTATAAAAAAATAATAAATATTAAATAAACAAAAGACAAATAGGAAAAATTTGTTAAAATGTCGTGTCCCTATTTATTTTTCCACCACTGTACATAGATACAAATAAGTCTAAAAATAAAACTAAACACACGCTTACTTAAGTAGTTGCTAATAGAAAAAATTAGGGAAATCAAATTAAGTTCATGTGCGCCAAAGTGGGTCATGGCTGCAACATTGGTTGGTTGCAGATCGGCCGATGGTGGGTCGCGCATGGGGAACGAAAACAATATAAGAAATGCAAGCGAAGTAAGCCAATGAAATGAATAAATAAAATAAATGCCTAAGTTTACGCGCCAGCTACTAACTACAGTAGCGAGATCTGGTTACTTGCGAGAACAAATATTGCATATTCCATGTATCTATTTACATTGTTGGGCGCAAATAACGAAAAAGAAAATCAAGGCAGGACAGCATGGAAAGCCATGGCTGCATGTATACAAACTTACATACAAACGCGCTGTTGTGTATGGCTAAATTGACACACGGATTGACGTTTGAAATGTTTGAATCGATGGTCGTCAAATCAATGCATAAATGAATGGTTCAGTGGAAGTCATTCTTGCGAGCAGGCGAATTTGTAGAAATGCTATGTATGTATATAAATTAATGTGTATTTGAGTTGGTATGAAAGAGTTAGTAGTAAATTTTAGTGGGAGGGATATTCAAATAGTACGAAAGTATTCTCAGTTATGTACATATGTTTGTATTTAAATACACTAACACATAAGTAAATACCCCGCAGCGGTTCTTACCACTTCCGTGCTGAATCTCTCTTACTTTAACAAAGGCGCAATCGCCTTATGGAAGCAGAAAGCAGACAGCGGGGGATTCAGAATTTTTTTTTTTTGGGACGGGCGGGGGTTCGAAATTTTGTCTCTTATTCTTATTAATTTAAACGAGTAATTCATGTATATATACATATACATATATCCATAGGTTTCTCAGAAACGGCTCTAACAATTTCGATGCAATTTGGCATTCAGATAATCTATCATATTGAAATTATTAAAAAAAAACCCAATTCAGAAATATTTGAGAAGTGTGTGTGAGTTGCTACCTATTTTCCATCGTATATTTTTTAAATATTATTTTTTTTTAATTAAGATACGATATTATTATTTATGGGTACGAAAAGAAAGCTCTTAAACAATTATTTGCCTATATAGTAGGTGTTATGCCTTAGGATATTACTGCAAGCTTGCCACTTACTTTCGAATTCACAAAAATTTACAAAATTTAACTAAAACAATTTAATATGGATTTCAAACGAGAGACACTTGTGAGATTTTAAATCCAGAAATATTTTCTATGAGGGTTAACACGTTTTTTTTTTAATACAAACTTTTATCTCATTAATTTCATCGAGCATATATGTATACACAGATATACACTAAAAATATATACTCTCCATCCTGGCGTATTTCTAAATAGAGTTGCCACCTCATTTTTAATGTGAGTCATTTCATGTCACCGCGGCAACCTCTGTGCGCGATCTCTAAGGATTTGGATGAAAGTTGGGAAAATTGAAGGTCTAGGTGACATGAATATACGTGCAGCATATTTTGCCGATATGACGTAGGGTTGCCTATTTACACGGGACTTAAATTTTAAGAAAACGTCATACATACGTTTCTTTAAAGTGCTGTATCTTCGAAACCTTTTAACGAAACTTAATGATAAAAAATGTATTTCTTACGTCTTATTATGGGCTTTAATTGTACGTTTTTTATATTAATGTGCAACGGATTAAAAACAAACAAAAAAAGGGAACAGTCCAGCGCCTTCGCCTTGGTCTGCAGGCTGTATCGGAGATACAGCCGCTATATTTAAACGTAGAATACGTGGTATGGTTAAGAGCATATCCAAGTCAAAAACGAAATCACACACTAAGAAAAAAAGGGGTTTTCCAAAATTTTACAAATTTACATACTTCTAAGTGAAAAGAACTCAATGAGAATATAAGCGAAAGCCCTATTTTTATTTTAATTTTATACCATTGTTTTTTTCTACAGCTTACTGAGATTTAAAGATTTGAAATTTTGAACAGAAAAGATATTTATTGAAAAAACTTAATATAAAATTGTTTGAGCGCTTGAAAGAAATTTAATTCAAACTGAACATTTGAAAACACATTTACATGTTGTGGTTGTAGCTAAGGGCGCAGAGATACTTGTTACTATTTGTTAACTTTCGGGAAGACTCGGGTTCGAATGCTGTTAAACGCAAAATATAAATTTTGATTTTTCTTAATTACGAAAAAGTATCAATAAAGTACAGAACGATCTCATATTCAGACGAACAAATCTCAAAAAAAAAATCGACAACTAAACCTAAAAAAATATCGATAACAAAATCGATATAAAATATCGATAAACCAATCGATAAAAATATCAATAAAAAAATCTATGAAAATATCCATAACAAACTCGATAAATAATCGATAACAAAATCGATAACAAAACCGATAACAAAATCGATAAAAATATCGATATCAAAAGCGATAATAATATCGATAACAAAACCCATAAAAATATCGATAACAAAAGCGATAACAATATCAATAGAAAAAACGATAAAAATATTGGTAACAAAACCAATAAAAATATCGATAAAAATATCGACAACAAAATCGATAAAAATATCGGT